CCTTCTGGAAGGGGCACAGCTTCTAGCCTCTTGGAAATAATGTCGGTCATTTCTTGGGAAGTATACGGTTTGAAATGGAGGGTGATGGTAGAGGCGGTAGGCTTGGTGGTGAGGGTATGTGTATTAGAGATCCCAATGATTCGGAATTGATCGGTAGCAATAGAGAGGAGGCCAGCGAGCGAGTCACCCTTGAGCTCTTCCAACTCATCAAGGATCATGATTCTGTAAGGACGATGAGCGCGACATTCGATTGAAATCAACATCACTTACATTGTTTTTCCCTCCTCAGCTCTGTCGTCACGCGTTTGACGCGTTAATTCTTTGATTTGTTCTGCCTTCATCCCGGTGCAGTTGACGTATTGCCTGATGAGGTCATCCTTCTCCTTCAAAATGTCATTGACGAGTGCTGTTTTACCAGTACCAGGAGTTCCAGAGATATATAGACAGGTATCTTCGTTACCGGTCAAAAAGCCGGTTATGATGGTCCGTTCAGCGTCTCGGCCTGTCAAGGTTCCAGCCGAAGATGCGGACGAGGATGTTCGGAGCAAAGCACGGGCTTCAGCATAGGGTGTTGTTTTACTCAAGTTGGTTTTTGATGGCGTCACTGGCGGCGTAGCCAGCTGGAGATTGCCAAGTTCGATGACGGGTGTGGACTCCGCACGTGCAAGTTGTCGACGAGCAGTGGCTTCATTAGAAGAAAAAAATGGAATAAATCAGCATGATTTCTTTTTATAGAATATTTGGCAGAGTTTAATGGGCCATAAACTTACTGGCGACGGATGTGCTCGTTGCGCTGCGTCGAATCCCACGGATCGGTCGACTCTCCGTAGCTGTAGGGGTAGCGTCTTGAAGAAGGGGGGGTATATTTTCTTTGTTTGCATCTGAAGAGTCTTCGGGGCGCGTGCATCTTCGTTTATTGGGGGTATGGGTGGGCGAGCACGTCGTTGAGGTAGACGCGGAAACCTGGGAGATGCAAGACGCAATAGTGGAGTTGGAATAAAGGAGAGGAGGTACCACTCATTCCGGCCTCTATGGCTCATGTTATCTCGGCTACAAAGGCAGTTACAACA